CAACAGTTCGAATTTAGAGTTTAAAATATATTTAATATTTAAGGCTTACTAATAATGAGACTTCCCTCTTTCCTACAAGCAAGTATTCATTCCTTCAATGAATGTCAGAGTTTTATTTCCAAGTTGTTTCAAAAGAAGGGGCTTTCTGAACAGTACAATTCAAAGATTCTATCTTGGCAGAGACATCTTATAAGGAGGAAACTGGTTCAATCGTTCTGTTAGACTGGGGGGGAAAGAGGGAGAGGAGGCGGAGAAGGAAAATTATATCAAGAAGGCTAACTATTTTCCAGGAAGAGCAGCTAGTCACATCAGACCACAAAGTTCTGCTCAGTCAGGTTTGGGACAACTTTCTTTCTCACATATTAGCTGTGCAACTCTAGGCAAGTTAGTTGTCATCTCTGTTTCTCCATCTGTTGAATAGGAATAATAATAATAAAACCTATCTCATAGGAAGGTTATGAGGATTAAATGAGTTAATGAATGCAAATGGCTGAGAACAACATCCTGCACATAGTAATCAATCAATAAATGCTAGACATTATTGCTATTATTATTATAAGAGAGTAGCTCATAGAAATATAAGAAGTGCTATGAATAAAAGTGTATGTAGGGTGCTTCAGGAATAGAGAGGTCACACTTGGCTGAGCTAAGAGATCGTAAGAGCCTGAGTTAAGGGAGAAACTAGGGAAGGGGAGTACTAATTATAGATGCAAGAAATAATATAGAGGAAAAATCCAAAGCTTAGTGACCCATGACATCCAGACATATCTATACTTATAGATTTTTTTAAAAAACTCCACATTGTTAAGATGTCAGTTCTCTCCAAATTATAGGTTCAACATAATCCAAGCTGAGGCTAAAATTTATAGGCATATGCAAAGAATCAGAGAGGCAAAATAATTTTGAAAAAGAAAAATGAAATTGGAGAGTTTCAAGAGCTGCTATAAAGCTATGGCGGACAACACAACATGGCATCAGCAAAGGACAGCAAGAAGGTTGATGGAGTAGACTAGAGAGTGCAGAAATAGACTCACCCTTGTCTGGTCAGTTAATTTATGACAAAGGTACAAAAGCATTTAAATAAGGATTAGAAAGCCTTTTCATAAATGGTGCTGGAACAAGTTGATATCCATATGAGGTTAAAAAATGAACCTTGACTCTACTTCACACCACACACAAAACTTAATTTGAGGTTGTCCTAATGCATGCGGGTTTGGTTTGCAAGGACCAGTGAATGGTGCCCATAATTCCTGTTTGTTGGCACACTGTCGAGGCTACTGAGAGCCCACGTTCCTGAGACTTTTCCCTTTCCACAAGAAGAGAATAAAAGAGGTCAGATGATGGCAGCAGTGTTCTTAACAGCCAGGCCTCAGGAATCAGTGACTTTTGAGAACACGGATGTGTATTGCACTGAAAAGGAATGGGCAAGCCTGGTGCCTGCTCAGATCCTCACGTACAGGATGGGATGCTAGAGAACTATGGGGCCTGGGCTTTCCTAACATCATCCACTCCCAAACCAGCTCTGATCTCTCAGCCTGAGCAAAGGAAAGAGCCATGCTTCATCCAGCCACAGGAAGCCCCAAACAGGAGAAGCAAGAGATCAGGTCCTGCAGGGTACATCTCAAAAACAGGATTGACCTACTTAGCTAAGATCTTATCACATGTAATAAAATTAAAAATTCTTTAAAATCATCAGTTATGAGAAGACAGGACAAGGTTTAACCAGTTTTCAAAGTAAGAAGTTGATTTAAAATCATTGTAAATTATGTCAAATACACATTTTCTTTTTCTGTAGACTAATAGATTTAATGTTTTCAATTCATTAAAGTTATTCATTTTAATGTACCAAAATAGTTAATTTGAGAAGGATCATACACGTAAACATAAAAGCTGACACTATAAAATCTCAAGAAGAAAATGTAAGAGAATATCTTCTCAACTTGAAATCCAGCAAAAATATTTTAGACAGGACACAGAAATTAATAAACATTTTTTAACATGATCAAATTACAATTCAAGTTAAATACTTCAGCTCATCATAAGAAAAATGAATTGAATGAATAGGTAAGCCACATAATAAAATAAAACATATTTTTTATGATAAAGGACTTATATCCAAAATAAAGTACTATAACAGACATAAAGATCAACTGATCTAGCCTGGCTGACATGGCTCATTGATTGAGCATCAACCGTGAACTAGGAGGCCACGGTTCGATTTCCTGTCAGGGCACATAACCGGGTTGCGGGCTCAATCCCCTGTGTAGGGTGGCCAGGAGGCAGCTGATCAATGATTCTCTCTAATAATTGATGTTTCTATCCCTCTCACCCTCTCCCTTCCTCTCTGAAATCAATACAAATATATATATTTTTTAAAAAGATCAACTGATTTTGAACAAAGGTGTCAATACAAGTCAATGAGGAGAGAATAATCTTTTCAATATAGTATAGTGGGACAACTGGATATCCACATGCAAAAAAATAAAATAATATTAGACCCCTTCTTTATACCATACACAAAAATTAACTCAATATTGATCAAAGACCTAAGTGGAAGAACTAAAACTACAAATTCTTAGAAAACATAGTTGTAAATCTTTGTGACCTTGAATTAGGCAATAATTTATTAAATATACACCAAAACTACAAGCAAAGAAAAAATAGGTAAGTTAGACTTCATCAAAATTCAAATTTTTATGCCTCAAAAAGCACAACTGAGAATGAAAGGACAGCCCACAGGATGAAGAATATATTTGTAAATCATATACCCAATAAGTATATGAGTTTATATTCAAAAATATAAACTATTACAACTAAATAACATCAACAACAAAAACACAAAGGATCTGAATAGATATTTTTCCAAAGACATATTAATGACCAATGAGCATATGAACAGAAGATGTTCAACTTCACTACTTAGTCATTACAGAAATGCAAATCAAAACTACAATGAGGTATCATTTTACACCTACTGTGGTGGCTATACTTAAATAGATGGACAACAGCAAGTGTTGGTAAGGATTTGGAGAAATTAGAACCCTGATACTTTGCTGGTGGAAATGTAGAACGCTGCTGCCACTTTGTAGAGTAGTTACTCAAAATACCAAACATGGATTTACCAGGTGACACAGCAATTCCACTGCTAAAGATATACCTAGGAGAAATGAGCATATGTTCACTCAAAAACGTGTACACAAATGTTCAGAGCAGCATTATCATAATAGACAAAAAAGTAGATAGAAACAACCCAAAAGTCCATCATTTGATAAGTGGGTCTACAAAATTTGGGATATCTATATGATGGGTGTTATTCAGCCTAAAAAGAACTGATTTGGGCTACATTATGAATGAACCTTGAAATCATTATACTAAATGAAAGAAGGCAACATATTGCATTTCATGTTTATGAAATTTCCAGAATAGGCAATTCATAGATAGAGAGGGCAAATTAGTGTTTTCTTGAGGCTGGAGGAAGGAGGTAATGGAGAGTGCCTGCTAACGGGAATGGGGTTTACTTTGGGGTTAGTAAAAATGTTCTGGCATCAGGTAGTGAGAATGATTACAAAAATTCATGAATATACTAACGCCTACTGAATTGCACACCTTTAAAAGATGAATTTTATGGTACGTAAGTTACATCTTAAAAAAGAAGGAAGATCTCCTGCACCCCAAATTCAATCTTTTTTCCTAGAAGCAACTGTTATTTATTTCTTGAGTACCATTTCTGAAATAGACTCTAGACATACAAACATGTATTTGCGTATGTATAGGTCCTTGTTAAAAACAGAAATATGAGTATAAAGCAGATATATTGTCCTAGATATTTTTTCTCTCTTTACAATATAACTTCAAGTACATTCGTCTTTACACTATAACTTGGCGGTTATTCCATTTCAGTATTTGGTTCTGAACATGCTATAATTTGGTTTGCTAGTATTCTGCTACAAATAATGTTGCAATTAATTTTCTTGGGTACATTTCCATGACATGCATACGAGTGGGATATGTTTCTAGAAGTTAAATTTCTGTATTTTATTTTAATAAACTGTCATTATTGACTTATGTCCTTCTTACTAGAATGTGGGTTCTCTGAGGACATCACATAGACCATTTCTCTTTTATTGACCAGGGTAATCTAGATTCCAGAACATTGCCTGACATACTAGGGCTTTATATATTTGTAGATAAGTCTGTGTGCTTTGATGTACAAAATGTCAAATGAAAATTTGAAGTATATCATTCAAGAAACAGACAATGATACAGTTTATAGAGACAGGAACTGTTTGGGGTTTGTTTGTTTTCTTTCCATACAATTGATTTCATAGTTTTTCTTTTTCAACTGCAGTATGTTTTCAAAAATTGTGGGATCAATTGCAATGTATCGTTATAAGAAATACAGAATCCTTCATTTCATTGGAAGACATCAACATGTTTTATTAAATAAATGCCTGGTTCTTATATTTGAGTATTCTTGCAGTTATCGGAGGAAAATGGGGGGGGAGGGGGCGGCAAGAGGGGAGATGGAAGTTGATTTGCAACTTTAGGAGACCTAATAGTGACACCTGCTGGAGAAAATGTAGGAATAGGTTGGAGGATCTGCTGTTTTTTGTTTCTATAAATATGTTTTATTGATTTCAGAGAGGAAGGGAGAGGGAGAAAGATACAAACATAAGTGATGAGAGAGAATCACTGATAGGCTGCCTCCTGCACGCCCCCTACTAGGGATCAAGCTCGAAACCCCGGCATGTGCCCTGACTGAATCGAACTCTGACCTCCTGGTTCACACAATCACTGAAACACACCAGCCGGGCTAGAATAAGCTTTTGATCCTTTGACTTTTTAAAATTTTAGATCAGTTTTTTTCTATTAATCAGGAAGAAATTTGATATTTTACCATAGGAGTGCTTGTAATAATTATATATAATTAAGTTTACAGGAGATTCTTTGATGTTGATGTTCTAAAAAATTATAAATAAAAACATTTTTTCTTTTTTCAGGATAAAGTCATTTTGGGAACTGATTACCCCTTTCCACTAGGTGAGCTGGAACCTGGAAAATTGATAGAATCCATGGAAGAATTTGATGCAGAAACGAAGGTATATGCCTTTTATTTCATAGACTTCTTCCTGTTTTCCTCCTCTAATTATGTTTGGTTTCAGAGCACTCTGATATGTGATATCAAAAAACAGGAAATTTTTACACTTAATATTCTTACAATTGTTACGAGGTCACCAGAAATACTAGTAGATGAATTATTAAAGGACCAAAAAAAGTTTAAAAGCTGAAAGTCAACCTACTACAACTAAATTTATAAAGAAAGAAAACTGCAAAGAAGCATATCATAATAATATATTTATGTTTGCACGTTAGAAGAAAAATGTCTAAATTTTTAATTTAATATTTCTCTTACAATCTACCCATCTCAAAAATTGTAATGATTCTAGTAATTTGAATATTGAGACTAAAGTCTTGATTAACAAGGACCCAAGGACGAGAACCTTCAAGTAATTGGGTGTTTTTCTTTCGGCATTTGACTTTTAGGTGGGTAAATGTGCCATAGCGCTGCCACTGCCTGTTCTACCCCTGAGGCTCCTGAACCAAGTAGAGTTAAAATGAGATGCATTGTCCCCGATTCTCTCTCCCTTGCCATCCTTGACATCCCCTCCCCACACCCCCCAACAAAACAAGTTCTTCCGGAGGTCTTCACCACCAATCACTACACAGGGTCAGGGATGGCCAAAAATAAAAACATGTGGCTATATAAACTCTTAACAAATCTCACAAGTCGTAGTCATAATCCTTTTGTATAATACTTGGCTTTCTTCTAAACTAGAATCCATAAGTTCTCTTGGTCTCTAATTCTCTGCTCTAATCGTTAAGGATTTAGTGAAGCACATTAACAAATGCCAAGAAGAATCCACTCTGCTTACTGGTTGCAAGTTATTAACTGGGAAACCTGAGATTCCCTTGGCATTGACTCACCTTAAGGCACTTACAGTCTTGAATTGTTAAATATTTTCTTATTAAAGTAGGAAGCCATAATAAGATTTTTTTTTTACTTTTTCTTTTTACAACAGAGGTTGAAAATGAAAAACTATCTATAAAATTAATAAAAATTAAACTGAAACCAGATTACCCCAAGCATCCTGATTAAGAGTTTAATGGAATAATTACTTTGTCTTTTATTATTTAATTTTATGTGCTTATCACTTTCAAGTTTTATAATATCTTGTATAAAAATTTTATACTGTCACAATAAAAATGACATTTTGTACAAAGTTAATCATTGCAACATTGCCTGTAATAAAAGACTAACAACAATCTATAGGAGAATAGTTACATAAATAAAATTGGAATCTATACAGCCATTAAAAAAACACTAAAAATCAATTTATAAGATATATTAAATTAAAAAAGCAAGGTGCCAAACAATATATATAGTATATTTCCATTTGTGTATAGTATACTATCCATTTGTGAAAAAGAATCTCTATATACCTAAATATAAGTATTTGCTTATATGTGTATAAAATATCTCTAGAATAACAGGTAAGAAACTAATGGCTGCACAACCTTGTAAACACACTAAAAATCATTAAATTATACACTTTAATGGGTTAATTATATGGCAGGTTAACTATCCTTACTAATAAAAGGCTAAGTAGTCATCACACCCTCACAAGTGATACCCTCACACCGTCACAAGATGGCTGCGCGCACAGCAGAGGCAGGGTTCCTGCGGCCCTGCACCTCAGCGGCCGCTCAGTGCAACATCTGCCAGGGTTCACACAGCCCCACGCCCACCGGAGAGGCAGGACCCCCCAGCTCTGGCCTACCTCTTTGGGGCAATTCATCAAGGAGCCCCGGATGGGTGGGCAGGGCCTACCTCTTTGGGGTGATGGATTGCAGGGCTCCCGCACTGTGAGAGGGCACAGGCCAGGCTGGGGACGTCCCCCCTGAGTACACAAATTTCATGCACCGGGCCTCTAGTATCTCAAGAAAGCTGTTGCAAAGTATAAAGTAAAAATATATCCATTACAGAAAAAAAGGATGGCTATCTCTGGGAAGATAGCATCCATTTTATAATTTTGAATTTTGAGCTCCAAAGCTCAAAAATTGATCATGATATCTAGATGTATATATGGTATGCATGTTATACAAATCCATACATGTTTCCTTCCATCCTCAGCTACATGCCTGAACTTTGCAAACTGGACAATTTTTAGTTAGCGTATCACAAAGTTACCTTTCAAATTATAGGCGTTCTTTAGTTTATAGGAGTTGATTTAGTTTATAGCTGGGAGAAGGTGAAAAAAATTTGGCAGTCCTTTTCTCATGTGAAATTGATAAATGTACACATTTGTACATTTATTCTGAGACTTTTCATCTATATCACTTTTCCTGCTCTGGAAGAGTTCCCTTTTATTTGGGACCGTGCAAAAGGACAACACATGCCTGGAAGCTGGGGGCGGCTACATGACTTCCAGCTCTGCTGTTCCACAGTCCTAAACTGTACCTTTTCTCTGTTTTGCCTCCAAATAGTCCTTAAAACCCATTGAGAGTCCTGTTGAAGTTCCCAAAGAGCATTTTCCTAAGCGGGTTCTCTCTCCCCCTTATAATTTCCTCCTTTCCTCCTACAACCAAGTTTCAAACAAGTGGCAAGAGGATTTGGGTAAGAGATTCATTGTTTAACCTGCTAATATTTTTCTCTCACGTTGGGGAATTGATTTTTTTAAAACCTGATAAAGACATTCAATAAAGGACTTAAGAACAACCATTAAATAATGCTTTAAAATAAAACCTTTTCTTTTTTTCTTTTTTTTTCAGGACAAACTCAAAGCTGGCAATGCCCTAGCATTTTTGGGTCTTGAGAGAAAACAATTTGAATGACTGAATTCACTACAAAGGCAATCTTTCAAGAAGATATTTTATTCTTGTTTTTAAATATGTATCACACATGCATACTAAAATCCTATTTTGAACTATTTTATCCAGAAATAAAATATCCCTGAGTATCCTAAATTATACATAACAAAAATGACTCACATGTGTTTTTCACTCTGAAAAGCAGTACATTATTTCACATCAAACCAAAATGATTTTCCCAGCACTTTAAAAATTAATAGCAGAAATAAAATGCAAAATGTCATTAATGCTTTATATGGAAAAAGCAAAACTAGATTCACCCTAGAGGACTCAAGTAGGTTCTCCACTTTGAGCAAGTATATGTGCTGAGGACCCAAATAACCCATTTTTATTCAATTTAAACACCTTCCATTGGCCCGTAACTGGTCTGGGAATGCTTTAGATGCCACAAACTAAATGCTGTAAATATTTCATAACCTGTAGGAGCTTATAGTTCAAATAAGGAGGCAAGTCACATGTTCATGAAATAATTACTAAGCAATGCAACGTGAGTGTCACAGAAGTTTCAGTAAAATTCATCTGGACTCAAACTTTTGGGAGCATCTTCACCGAAGTTGGAACTTGGAGTGAGTCTAGATGGAAAAGGCTTATGGAGAGTTGGAGGTGGTAAACAGATAGGAAGGGAAAACTGGGAATAGAGGTTTCAGACTGAATGACAATTTATTCTGGAGAAAAATTCCAGGCTATAATTTACTTTCACCAGAAGCTATTTTATTTTAAAATACTGAGTAGAGCTTGTAAAGCTGGCCGTGGAGACTGAGAGCAGAGCAACACCAGGGTAGCCTTACTCTACTCACTTCATTTATGGTCCTACCTGGGCTGCTGAAAATGAACTTGGAGGGGTGATGAACATGTGTTTTGTGTACCTCTGGCTGAATTCCAAAATCAAATATAATTTTTCAAAACTACCCTCTTGCTTTGACTGATTAATGCTCATATTCCCTCCCATTGGCCCAGAAAATTTGAGTATTGGCATATAATTTATGCTAATATAATTTTTGCTAAACTACATCTATCCCATTATTTTTACTTTACTTAGTACATTACTCCATCTCTTTGTTGCTCCTCCTATTGCTTTCTACTACTTTACCCACCCACCGCTCTGCTTATTACGCCAATCTGCCTGAAATGGAAAACAAGGTTGAACAAAAGAGCAACATGAAGGATGTTATTTTTCCTTCCCCATTATTTAGGGAAAAGGTCCATCCCTCTTCAAATATTCTATATTTGAGCACTTTTGAACATAATGTTTAATTACTGTTTTATCATGAAAAGTAACCTGATCATTTTAGTAAATTAATATCACAGATAGGTTGATAAATAGATAATGAGGATATTCATATTCATATTCACAGAGTGTTTACATGATGTGCAAGCTGTAGCACTGGGGATATAGAATAAAAGGGATAAAGAATAAAATTTCTTCTCTAATGAAGCCTACAGTCTGGAGGGTAAGAAATATAAGGAGGGAGAGAAGAAGGAGAAAGGAGGAATGGAGGGGAAAAGGAATGAAGGAAGGAAATTTTTCTGATAAATACGATGAAGCGGTTAAAATGGGGAAATGTATAACGGGACTATGAGAAGGATAGGGAATAAGACATTAAGTTGTGGGATCAGAGAAAGCCTCTTTAAACAAAACTTTGACTTAAGACTTGAGTGATACAACAGTAATAGTTAGAAAGCCCTTCTCTACACCCAGATTAAAGAGGAATTTACCCATCTCTCTTCTAGTGCCTGCATAGTTTCATTGTCTTATGGTTAAATCTTTGACAATGTTGGAGTTATCCTTATATATGATGTGGGGAATGAATCTAATTTTATTGCAGCATTATTTGTTATTGTAATTGTAAAATATTGAAAATTATATATTGTCCAAATGTAGGAGACTGAACAAACTATAGTACACACATGTACAGATACCTAGGAGTCAACCTTGATTTCTTTCTTTCCTGTCCTCCCTCTTCCTTACATTCAGTCCATCATCAAATGCTGTTGGTTCTACCTATGACATCTCACAACCTCATTCTGTTATTCTTGCCCAAGTCACCGTCATTTCTTGCCTAGTCTCCTTACTATCATTCTTGACCCCTTAAGTAATTCTCTACACAACTGCTAATGTGGTTTTTCCTTTAAAAGAAAAACATAAATCAGACCATATAACAGACTTATTTTAAAAAGTCCAATGGCTTCCTATGAAACTTATAAAAATCTAAACTCTTGATCATGGCCTACTTATCTGGCCAACTTTCCAGCTTCTCCTACCTCTTTTCCCCTTATTCACAAACTCTGCCACAAGCTCTTTCCTGCATAAAATCAATAAGGAAACATCAGCTTTAAACAGCACGTTAGACCAGAACATTCCATCCAAAAGCAAAAGAATATGCATTCTTCCCAAGTGCACATGAAACATTCTCCAGGAAAGATCATATGTTAGGCCACAAAACAAGTCTTAATAAATTTAATGAAATTTAAATCAGATCAAGCATCTTTTCCAAACAAAAGAGTATGAAAATAGAAATCAATTATAAAAAGAAAACTGGAAAATTCACAAATATGTGGAGATTAAACAAAATACCACAGAACAACCAGTAGTATAAATTCCAGTCCTCATCTCTCACCAGGACTATTAAAATAATCTCTTATTTATACCCCTGACTCTGGGCTTAGTCTGATAAAATCCAGCTGCCACCTGTTGCCAGAGGAAAATTTCCAAAGTACATATCTGATCATATTACTCCCTCTCTCAAAATTTCTCATGAACTAAAGTAGTGGTTTCTAGTTAGGGGGATTTCCTTGATCAATACCTCCCCCTTTTAAAAAATGTACTGATATATCTAATAAAGCACACCTCTCATTTTAAATTGCAATTGCTACCTTCGCACTAAACTGGGACTTCCTTGAGAGCAGGAACAAGCCTTCATTCACTCATTCCCATGCATTCAACAGTACTTTTTGAGGGCCTGTTATGTACCAAAAACCAAGTTAGGTGCTCGGATAATGTAAGTAAAAATAAACATGGTTCCTGCTCTCATGGTGCTTATAATCTAGTTAAGGAAACACTTATTAAGTAAGCAACAAATCAACATAAAATTGCTACCAAGACAAGAGCTATGAAGGAACAGAGAGTGTGTAGAGAGCTTATAATAGGGATCTGGCCTAGTCAGAGTTGGGGAGAGACTTTTCAGAAGAAGTGTTGCTTAAGATGGAATTAGGAAGAGGAGACAAGAGCTAAAAGAAGAAAGGAAAGAGCATTGGACAGAGAGAATAGCATAAATGAAACCCTTATGGCAGGAGAGAACATGGCAAGAAATAAGACCATTAAGTCTAGAGATAATAAAGCAAGATGTTCTTGATATAAAGTGGCAAGATCATGTGGGGTCACAAGTCAATCAGGGAATTTATCCATCAGAAAGCAATGAGGTTTTTAAGGAAGGGGTGACATAACTAGAGTTGAATTTTTAAAAGAACCTTCTGGCCCTGAAACAACACTGTTTATACCCAGGATCTTGAAAGTCTCTCAAGGAAAATAACTTTTTCAGCCCTTTCTCTCCTTTGTTATCTAGTGTAAGTACTTCTTCAAAATAAACCCCTGACAAAAAATCCCAGCACCATCAGATTCCAAAGGACAAGCATGCCTAGCCATCCAAGCATTCCTCCTCCTTTCACACAACCCTTCCCCATCTCTTCAATCTCTCCTAAAAAGGAAACCAGCTCTGACTCAACTCAATTTATATTATCCAACCAGAAAACTTGAGCCTATATTCAAAACAATTACTTAAGATTAGCTTAATTTAAATAAATACCCACTTTATATTTGACTTAAAGAGACAATTCTTACCTTAACTAATAAAGACTTTTAAAAAAACATACAAAAACTAAGGATATCTGAATAAAGAAGGGCTTTAGTTAATAACAATGATCAATATGGATTCATTAATTTAAAAAAAGAGACAATTCTGAGGCTTTTTCCTCAATCAAAATAGAACAAAAGTGGGTTGAAGTTTCCATTTCTGAATATAGAACACTGCTCACAACCTAATAAAAAAAATGTAGTTTATTTTTGAAAAGTCAATACATAAACACATTAGAAGAGTTCAAGATCAAATTCAAACTGTCTCCCCGAGGAACCAATTTTCTGTGTGTGTGTGTGTGCGTGTGTGTGTGTGTGTGTGTGTGTTCTTGCAAAGATAGTCTACAGTTATACAAATACTTACATGTACATATTCCTTTGTTCATTTTACCTAAACAGTAACATCTTGCTTTTTCCCCTCCTACTAAATATCTTGGTGCTCATTCCACATATAAGCTGCCTTCATTTTTATTTTTTGTAAGCTTCTTTTATTTATTTATTATTTCTCAGTTACAGTTGACACTCAATATTTTTTATATTCGTTTCAGATATACAGCATAGTGGTTAAATATTTATGTAACTTATGAAGTGATCCCCCTGATAATTCTAGTACCCACCTGGCACCATACATAATCTATATATATAAAAGCCTAATATGCTAAGTGTCCCCCCAACCATTCAACAGGTAGCTATGACACACACTGACCACCAGGGGATAGACCAGTGATGGCGTATCTTTTGAGCTCGGCGTGCCAGCATTTTGAAAAACCGTAACTTAACTCTGGTGCCATGTCACATATAGAAATTTTTTTATATTTGCAACCATAGTAAAACAAAGACATATTTTTGATATTTATTTTATATATTTAAATGCCATTTAACAAAGAAATATCAACCAAAAAAATGAGTTCGCATGTCATCTCTGACACACGTGTCATAGGTTCGCCATCACTGGGATAGACGCTCAAC